AGTGTTATTACAATGGAAAGAAAACAGGAGAGAAATGAAGACCAAGATAAATATATGCTCTTAGCAGCTGTTTCTAACTTTTTTGTTGCAATTATAAGATAGGACAGTCAAACATTTGGCAAGAAAGTGGCAGTAGCTAGGGGAATTTTTTATATTTATATCTTTATATTTTGACAGAGTGGAAAAAGCGTTTTGTAATAAATTCAAATCATGTTTCAATCACAAGACCATGCCACAAGCCCGCGTATCCTTGATACTCATCTAGCAAATGATAAATTGCAATTTCTGCTGATAGATGAATAATACCAATACTGAAAATTGAAAAAAACAACACCGATTTGTTTCTTTAATACAGTTATGGCAAGTCTAACCTTATTATCTATTCTGGTAAGAAGTAACAATAGGGTAGGACACTATATTTTACGACCTTTTCTTTTCTTTAGATAGTAATGCCCAGCCTTGGGTAGATTTAAAAGACGTTTTATGTTACAACTGACAGACTTACATAACAGGGTTCGTACCAAAAAGATGTGCTTGTCAGCTTTAAGGCACACTGGTACCTGAACCTGATGGATAAGTGTGATAGCTGCAATCAGCGCCCTCTCTCTCTCTCTCTCTCTCTCACACACATGCTAAGATAAAACATGCAGTGCAAATCATCGGCAAGAAATATAATTTTTTAACAGAAGGATGAGCTTTCTGTAATCCACATACATGTCTTTAAATGCAAAAAGAGACCTCCAAATTCTCCACTTATGTCAAGAGCTACATTTATTAGATTATGAAGCCTCGCAACACACACATACACACACACACGCGCGCGCGCGCGCGCACGTACATCTACACTAAGAGAGAGAGAGGGAGAGAGGATTGATTTGCATCAAAAGGCCATTAAATGGGTGGAGGATTATCACCTCTATCACCTTTGGAGACAACAGAGGACATCTAATAGACCTAAGGCTTATTAAACTACTAAGTACCAAAGGCGTTTTGAATCTATTCATGAAAAGGGTAGCAAGTTCGTACTAATTTGTCAGCGAAAATGTGGGTTTATCTTTCGGGGAGACGCGTTTATTTGTATTTGATGATTAGCTGTTTTTTTTTTTTTTAAATGGTGTTCATCGGATGATTTCGGAAATTCCAGGCTCTGTCATCTTAATTTGTGTGAAAAATGCATTAACAAAATTCTCATAATGTGTAAACTTTATTCTGTGTGTGTGTGTGTGTGTGTGTGTGTGTGTGAGAGAGAGAGAGAGAGAGAGAGTGTGCCCTTTAATTAAAGCAGACAAGTCACAGGATTAAGTCAGGTCCGGCGATTTCCAATCCTTTCCTCGTTTGCTTATTGCAATAAAAATCTTTACGACCTACTTAAGGCAATTACTACCGTGTCAAATACTCGTAAAATACTGTCGTAAATGTCTTTCTAGTTGTACATACCCCAAGGTTGAATGGTAAGGGTTAATTTGCCAACATGATGTCACAAAGACGCTGAGTTGAATAATAACGTCCTTTTCTTTTTCATTTTTTGTTGTTTGTATTACAATGAAATTCAGGGTTCATGGAATGTATTCCTCTTCTTCTAATTATTAGACAGATATCCAAAATATCATGTGTTTGAATGAGACGGGTGTGTCAGATAGTGTGGTGTTTTCTATCCTGTACAAGTCAAACTGTAATTAGTGGCCACAGAACCAGTCTTTCGCCGAGGTATTCGTCCACAAACCGAGATGAAATTTTCCACGCAACTTCTCTGTATAGAGAAAGCCTGACTGCTGAATTTTCTTTTTCCACTAAAGCTGAAGATAAGAAAGTGACATCATTTTGTGTTTTTTCCCCTCTTAGTCTCAATTTCTCTTGAATCTACCAAGTGCACTTCCAAGTTAATTTTCTTGTTATTTGATGAGTCTTCACGTTTAGTAACGAAGAGTTCAATATAATTGTTGCCTCAGAAATACATAAAACAAATGAGTTGAAGAGAACTACAAAGGGAAATACTAAGCCCGTTCAAGATCGCGGTCAGTTTTCAGTAATAAAAACGCACCTCAGTTTCAAGCTTGTGAAAACAAACCGTTGTAATTTTAATTTTAAAAAAACATTTATTTACCACCAGTTTCTCTTTTTCTGATATTCGAAATCTACAGAACTCGCGTCCTCTATCTTCAAATAATATTAATGCTCAACAACTTCAAGACTATGATAAATATAATCAAAATTTTAAATTGTAACTTAAAAAATTTCTTCTTGTATTAACCAGAGCCTTTCTTTGGTATTCAGAGATGTACTTACTGTTTCTATCAACATAAAAGATCATCTGAACACACACATACCCGCTTGGTTTTAGAGAGAACAAAAGCGACTGGTTTTTTTACTACGATAAAAATATTTTTTCTCTGAAATATAACCAGATATATTGCAATATCCTTTGTAGTTCTACCAGTATAATGTGATTTCTGGCTCACCAGACATATCTAGGTGACAGGCATTGTGTCAGTGTGATGCATGCGTTTCCTATCCTTTCTTATTTTTTTTATTTTTAATTTTTTTGAGAAAACATGTTGATTTTTTGAGATGACCACTAACTAACAAATAAACAGAGTCAGAACACAACATGCCTTCGGTCTTTATTATTTAGTGACGTTATAAGGTATTTTACTGTGGTTCATAGATTGGCAAAGTTAGTGCGGTGAATTGTTCCTTTCGGGTGTGATACAATGTGTAATTCATAACTGGACACTTTTCGTATTCACTCGTGTAAAGACGACTCAAACTTAGCAGCAATTACAAATTATAATTACAAATTATAATGGACTGATGTCAAAGACCTTTCTGACACGCCCTCAGCGTCTCTGCAGGGGCCGCACCTGAGAAGTTTTTTATTAACCAGTAATTATCGCGTACGTCCAAGGCTCCAGTATATGGAAATAGTTAACAAGGACGTTACACCAGGCAGTTACTCCCACTGGAAGAATTGTATTGGAAATTTGAGGCCTAATACCCCCTAAAGGTTTTTGGTCGCTAAGGACCTTGTTTCCCGTGGATTTGCCACTAATTGAGGTTCGTTAGGGGTGAAAAGGAATGAAATAGTATTGATATGATAATACCAAGAACCTCAGTATATAACAAAGCATGAGGTAAGGACAGTCGTTCTATCTATTTTATGAATATTTTCTTATTTGAATAATACACACACTGGACGATAGAAGTGTCACCCCCTGAATCAGAGTAATCAAAGTTATTAACCTGAAGAGGCGGAATATAAGCAATGTCAGAATATCGATACAGTTGAATTGTTCAGTCAGAACCGTTTCTTTTGTGGAATTTGATGTGAATAAAAGGATACCAGGAGCATATCATTCCACAGTCATTTATCTCCCCTAAAGTATTGGTTCAGTAGGAGTGACTCTTCTATTGTCCGGTGTGTGTAATTGTCATATAAAACTAAGAAAATAATTAATTAACCCGCCATTCAAGACAGATATCCTAAGTAGAAATAAATACTATCATTACGTATTCCTTTTGTGTCTCAGAATTGTATAAAACGCATGTCTTGTTCTAGTTTGGATCGACTTAGATTCCAGTCAAAATTCGAGTCACTCGGTCCGTCGGTAAGCAGACGACAACTATTTTCCCGCCAAGATGATGAAGCTGATTCTACTTGTTACTCTCGTGGCTGCCAGTTGAGATGTGGAGAAAGAGAGAGCAAGACATGAGAGAGATGTGTGTTGAGAGAGCGAGATTGGAAAAGAGAGAGAGAGATGGGAGTTGAATTTGGTCAAGAAAAAATCTGGTTTTCAAAAGAGAGCAGCATTTTTTCTAAGATGTAAAGGATTGGATATTACGTTATAACCAACAAATAGAACCACACTGATAACAAGAGCTGTAAGTCACTCATGATTCACATCGTCATTGTCCAGTCTTAGATAACTCATTGCTGCATCTCCTGACGCTCAATAAACTTGACCCTTGCCGCACAATCGGGCACGTGCACAGAGTGGAACTCCTGCCCCATGTCCACCTTGCCCATCCACTGTAGGCGGTACCTCTGCAAGATCTTCACTAGCATCACACTCAGCTCCAGCTCCGCAAATCTTCGACCTTCAAAAACAAATATGTTTTTGGTTAAATATTCCAAGAATGTGAAAAATGGAAATGGAGAGAGAATAGAGCAAGATATCGGGCAAGGGAAAGAAGAGAGAAAAAAAACAAAAAAAAAAAAAAAACGGAAGGAAAATGGGGGAGATCAGACCAAGAACGAATGTAAAGTATCAAAATCCAAGAAAAGAAGAACAAATACCAAATATACGTGTGAATTTCAAAATAGGTCCCGCACACACACACACAGACACGCACACACATATACAGAGCACACATACACATACACAGAGAGAGAGAGAGAGAGAGAGAGAGAGAGAGATCATGTCCCAACCTAGGCACATCCGGGTCCCGTGGCCAAACGGCAGCAGCGTGTACGGGTTATAATCCTCAGAGGTGTTTTCTCGAAGCCATCGCTCAGGTTGAAACTGTTCAGGAGCCACGAAATATTCTGGGCTGTGGTAGAACACGAGGCTGTTCAGAGAAAGAATCGTCTGTAAAGAAAAGGTACAAGAATGATGTATTAGTATAGATGGCGCCACGGCTTACCAGGCCAAAATGTATAAATCAGCTCTTCGTTTATGGAGAAATTATTATAGTTTAAAACTTGGTTGGTGTGTTTTTAAATTTTAAGTTGTACTTTACAAGTTGTACATAATGCTGTGACGAATTATTATTATCATCACTTTAACATTATTTACATAGTTGCCATGACCACAAATAATGGACCATGCAGATATCGAAAACATTGTAATCCCGAAAGAAATGATAATAATATATGTGGCAAATTGTTCCAAGAAATGACAGAGATCTCAGGAAAAGGCTACTGTACATTCGAGAACCAAATTTCACCAAACAAACGTTCAACGGAAAACGGCGTTCATCACAAGGTTGTGTTTTATTGTTTGTCATTCCATATCAAACGCTTTATGTTGAGGCGTCCAAATTATCTTATTGGATCTCAAATAGAAATTCTAAAAAAAGAGTTTAGTAAAGAGCCACTGTGTAGTATTACGACAGTGTTTTTTCCACTGTCAGGTAAAGAAGGCATACTGTATTTCTTTATAAAATCCTTTCTTTTAGTACGTGCTAAGCTGGTTATACACTGTACCCCCATTGGTATATGGTATCCACCAACCACCGTGTCCTGCTGTGGAATTCTGGTAAGTTCCACCGTAAGAGGAAAAAACCTGTAACAGAAAAAATATGACATTTTTAAGATAAGCCGTTACAGCACAAATGTAAACTGGCATTTATGGCAGCAGAGAGGCTCATTTAATTCACCGTCAACACACACGCGTGTTAATTTGTGCTTTAAGGTTATATGATGTGATTTCGCTTCAGTGAATAGAATAAAATTCTGAGTCTTACCACTTGAAGTAATTTGCTAAAAATCACTAACTCGGCATGTGTGAGTCATAATTTGTTATTCATCCAGAGTAAAAAAAAATGTCACATATTTACAATGAATATATTATGCTAGGAAATACACTTGCTATATAGCCTCCCTATATTCACCAATAGATTAAAATTTTGGCATGCATAAGAATTTTTGACTTTTTGATTCATCAACATTTGGAAATGCCTTGCATTATATATTCCCTGAAGAAATCGTTTGTCATACGCTGAGATGTTGTGGTTTGAAAAAAAAATCTGATTTTATCTGATGTACGAAGAAGCTATCATTGTACATTTTCTAGTCTTTTATCTACAATTGCAAAAAGCCCCTTACTATAATACTGAAAATAAATATTGTGTAAGATGTGGTGTTTCACAGACCTGGAGGTTTCCTTGAGAAAAGCTTTCATGTACTTCATCTTCTTGATGTGGTCCTTTGTCACATTTTCTCCCCTCGGCACGATTCTCTCCACTTCCTCAAATAGCTTGTCTTGCACGTGACTGTGCTTTGAAAGCGTGAACAGATTCCAAATCAAAACGGCTGGTGTCTGGAAAAGTGTTATTATACGGACGTAAAAAAAAAAAAAAAGGAAAAAAAAACTAATTTTGTTGGACTTTGTATGGAATGGAATGATTGCCAAATTACTATAACTGCAAATTGATGAACGGAATGCATGAAAAGTGACATTAACGTCAGAGATCGAATTCAGAACAGCGGACTAACAGATCCGCGGATCAAATATGGCCGACCTACTTGAATACTTGTTGCGTTGGGAATCTATTCAGTGTCTAACCAGGAATTAAGCGGCAAGCTATTTAGTTGTTCGCCATATTTGATCCACAGATCTGTTATTCCGCTGTTCTTAATGCGCTCTTAATTGAACCCTCGTACATGTGGAAAGAGGAGCAGTTAAAAACTCATACCGATGCAGAGGTCAATCATTAAAATGTGCCAAATACGTAAAATTTCACAGTAAAGGGTAATCTGCAGGTATACACCATTATGTTTTGATGGTTTAAGAGAGTATGAGTAGATTTACAAAGTTTACTCTGTATGTAACACAAGCCTTGCTAGGAGAAGGGTAACGGAAGGAACGCTAATAATTAACGGAGGGCGAGCAATCCCCCTTCTCCTCTCATTCGTTCTTACCGCAATGAGTCCATCGAATACCATATCCAATGACAGCATGCCCCACTCACTGTACGGGATATCACCTGGAATGGGTACGTCATGATTACTGTTTGAATATTATCCAATCACAGTTCGGTAAAATGTGTGTTCGTTCTAATAAACATGTAGAGAGCGCCGTCTATATTGTGATTGGTGCATGAAGCACCGCGTGTAAGAGGTTACCTGAACGCGACATAACATGTCGCAGGAAACTATATTTGTCATCTGGCAACTGGTTTGTGGCGGAGAGGACCTTAATGTCTTCGACCGCCCGGTCCAAAAGTTTTTGCAAACCCCTGATAAAAATAACATTGCAAATATTACTTTGACATATATACTAACAACAACAATAATAATAATAACAATAATAATAAGTCGCGCAGATTTGTAAATAAAAATATAGTTTAATTCCGATTCGTTGCTTATAACAAGAGATGATGAAAATATACCTTCTATTTACTTATGTATTCAATCATTTTGTCGTCTCAGATTACAGACAAGAGCACACAATAAGTCAGTGAATAACTCTGAGTATGTAATGGAAAAAATAAAGTATGTGCATCTTTGTTAGTGAGTAGGGTGGTAGAGAGGTTGTATTTACCCAAACAAGTAATCCGCACTCTCTACCATGGTATTCCACTGCGCAGTTCTCACGTATCTGTACAGAGGAAGTGAATAATACAGGCCCGTGGCGCTGCGAACGACGGTTTGCGTGGCTTCTATCATGGAGCGGACGTCAAAGAACTCGTTGACCTCATTATCAAAGAAGCCCGGATGTGTCTCAAAAACATTTCTGGCAGTGGCTGGAATAATTATAGAAAAAATAACGTGAAGGGAACTTTGATCGAAGTAGAGCAAATCAGTGTTTCAAGATAATCATAGACGGTTTAGCTGCGCCTTAGATATACTGTATTTCCTACTTTTTAGGTACCCGAACGTAACCTCGCGATATTTTGTTTATGATTTCGTTGCCTCATACCAGCATTTATATCTTATTCTATACATATCCACTCACGTCATTATTTAAATAATCGTTATTTATAAGTTGGTGCTCAAAATGGATCCAATAATGGGTAGTACAACGTATGTTTAATACTTACCGTGTTTTACACTACTACTACTACTACTACTACTACTACTACTACTACTACTACCGATACCCAATACTTTTATTGCTTCTGCTGATACTGCCCCTGTAGAAGTACTGCCACAAATACTACTATACGCCAAATTTCAAAACAACGTAAAATATTGCTTGCATATGCAAACCCTTTGACAATATATATATATATCTGTTTTGGGCCGGTAAGTAGACAGAAGTGTTCTCAAGGGGGACGGACTAAAACATAATAAAATGGGTGAATTATTTCAACAGCTGTATTTCAATTGCACGATATAGTAATGCGGAATAGTAAAACTTACATTTAAGTAATGCGTAAAATACTTACATTTAAGATGCCATTTAGCAACTTCCTCGTAAAGGTTCGGGACTTCTCCATTTGCTGTCTGAATGCCGGGCAGCCGTGTGAGGAAATCGTCAGCAACTTCATTGATAAACGGCAAATAATCAGCAACGATGTTTGGTCGCAAGATGTGGCTTTGCACCAGGCCACGCAGTGTGCGCCACTCTTCTCCGTTGCTAAAATAGGGGTTTATAAAAAGTGACCGCTTTATGTCTGTTTCTGTTGGATCGGTCCATAAAATCACAAACAAGACCACCCAAATAATTTGGAAAATTCAACCAAAAAGGAGAATGTCTTAAATTAGCTCACAATGAAAAAAGTTTAAATTAAAATTATAGATGCAATGTAACAACACAGAATACATTTCTTAATATTTTTAAATTTTTTCATTGCAATAAGGTACCCTAGGTAAACAACACCAGCTAAAACAAAACAAGTCACTTTCCATCGCTGAAATATCGGTTAAACGGTGTATTTGTCCTACCGGTACATATTAACTAGTGGGGCATGCATTATCAAAGAAAAATCAGTTAGGCATATTGAACTGCTTACAGATCGAGGGACATGATCTCATTGTCGAAAAACATGTTTTCATAATCCAGGATTCATAATGCAAAATTGGTTAAAGGGTTTAAAGTTCAGTGTAGGTGCCACTGGAATAGCGTTTTGATTGATCTCACAAGAGTCATTTTAGTTCAAATTCAATTATCGGGAAAGAAAAATAAACAAGAGGCTAGCCTATCCTGTATTTGGACGTCACGATAACGGCTGCAGACGTCCGTTATCACGTGATGAATTTGGTCTCAGATTTCACGATTTAACGTAAAGACCATAAAACAAACCTTCCAACTGATCATGAAAAGAATACTGCCACAATTGTTTATTACATGCAGGAGACACACAGCTTTTGATCAAGACATACATTTAGTTTATTTGAAGGGGGGTACATGTACCGCCGGCTTTTCTTTAAATGAAGTAAACCTTATTTTGGTTTAAAATTTTAGAAAAAAATCGTGGGGCTTAACCCTTTTTAAAACCTATATACCCAGGCTCTATTTATATTGAAAATACTAATAATAAAAAGAAGTTACGTAACTCAATTTGAAGAAAGTCATGTTCCTGGCACATTAAACTAGTTAAAGGGGGTAATGTACTTTCTTACACGTTGCCAATGCCAGGCCCAATCCTTCTCCATCTTCTGTAGAACCCTAGTGGAGGAAACAATGGATAAACGTCCGTCTGGACCTGGCTGTTACGCAGGACACCACAGATATCGTCCAGGTGAAACAGGTGGACAAACGTGTCACCTGATCTCGTCTCCTTGACAACCGGGCCGTAATTGTGATGGAGAGACTTCAGGATTTCCCGCATTTTACGGTAATCATGAGTTCCTAATCAATAATAATAATAATAATAATAATGATAATAATAATAATAATGATGATGATGATGATAACGATACCTGATAATAGCGATCACCGATACCTGATAATAGTGATCACCCCGTTCCCATACCTAGATTGATTTAGCATCTCAAAGGGGTTTCTAGCTTTAAGCGACCCTGATGTCTGGCACGCCTATTGAAGCTGTTAAGGTTGGATTATCTATCGTTTAGCAGCTATTCATTAGGTGTGCCAGACATCTAAGCCGCTTAAACTGAAAGCAGTTTAGCGATAATCCTCTAGGAGTTGGGGCGATCCTGCTACATCGAGCGAGGTATGGGAATGGGGTCTTATGTTTTATGTACATGTAGTAACTGGTGCTAATTGCTTACACTGTATACCTGCATTTAATAAGGCCTTTTTATATAGTCTATGAAATATTTTCTATAGAAATATTTTTTCCTGAACCTTTGTCGGGGCACATAAAAAGATGATAATCATGTTACAGTGGTAATTTCATTTATATATTGTGTTGATCATAAGTTAATTGACAAAACATACAAAACACTCAATTCAACCAACCAAAGTCGCGGACTACGACCACAAGACCCTTCGACTTGTGCCCCTGATTTTCGGCAGACCTGGTGAAATCGAATACGAATAAGAAATGCCTGTCCAATTAAACCTCACACATATAGATTAGTATGATATATAGACCTATTTTTCACATGACCCAATTTTTGCTATTTTAATTCTAATGGGTTGCACATGTACAGCTGGATAAGACGCGTGAAGTATTGAATAATGGACAAAATGGAGGCGTCGATGAAAATATTTAAAATAAAATATTTTGTTCTGTCTTTTTTTCCATGCACATTTGAACACATTTTGCTCCTAAAATATTGAACACAAGTGAAGAATTGTAAACATTACTTAGCGGCCAGAACAATTATNTTTTTTTTTAAATATATATTCGCCTATTAATAAATACAATTAAAGACTTACAGGGTTACTACTTAATATGGAATATTTTTTATCTTTGTTATTTTTGAGTGCTGATTAAAATTTTTTGGCTTGATTCATCAAAAAAGTATTTCACTGACTGATAAAAATATCCAGTCTTCTACTGTGAGATATTTTGGTCAATATTATCAAATCTGACATAAGTTGACATTCAAAAGAAAGAACACCCCCAGAAAACCATATCAACAGTTTGATGACAGTATTAATTTTAAGCTAAGATATTAAAGAAAACAATAGCCTCCGGACAGTGATATGTTACACAGTCAAAGAACTCATTACAGTAAATCATGAAAAGTCATCAATAATCATAAATAGTCAATGAAATAGTCATCAATGCTGGGTATGACCTCCAGCAGCCGCTAGCGCGCTCATCCTACATGGCATACTATGTGACAAGTTTTTTAGAGTTTGGATGGGGATATTATTTCACGCAGTGATATTTGCCTGACGCAGTTCATCACTATTTACCGGCCGATGATCATAGCTATTAATTCTGTGAGTTACTTCCGCCCAGAGATTTTCAATTGGGTTCATATCTTGGGAGTTTGCAGGCCAGGGCAGTTGCTGAACCCATTGGTTTTGAAGAAAAACAGTGATTCTGCGAGCTCGATGTGGGGTTGCGCAGTCGTCTTGGTACACAAAGTTGTTCCTGAAGATGTATCTTACAAATCGAAGCATTGTTTGCTGTAGAATGTCTCTGTAGGAACCTTGGTTGAAGTTGCCTCCTAGAAAAACCAACTGGTTCTCGGCACTGACATGAAATGCTCCCGAAACAGAGACGTTACCACCCCCTGCTTGCACCCTAAGCAGTACACAATCATCGTTTTATGCCTCTAGTACACGTCGGCGGACAAGGATTCGACAGTCAACCCTAAAAAACTCCATATCTGGCCTTATCACCGAAAACGACGTGATTCCAGTGTTTTAGCTGCAAATGCACGTGGTCCCCGGCCCATTGCAGACGTCGATGTACATGACCTGCTGTTAACAGTGATTTCCCTACTGGTCTCCGTGTAAAATAACCGGCTTGCCGTAATCTCTTGTTCATGAGGGACTTTGAAACGGGCGTTTGAATGACATTGTGCCACTTTTTTCTGAGGACACTGGTTGTCTTTGAACGACCATCACGGCGCACTCTAAGGGGAAGGCGATCCTGTCTTCTCGGTGTGATACGCGGACACCCTGGTCGAGGTATTGGAGTAGGTGTCCCTGTTGTAGCATATCTTTGGAAGACTTTACTAACGGTTCCTGATAAATGTTGCATTGCCTGGCAATGGCTGTCCGTTTCTGGCCATTTTCTCTAAGAGCAAGAATCCCATAGTAAGCTGCGTTGCTTAGCTGTCGAACTATATCTTCTCTAAGGTACCTGTCAAGTTTCAGAGCGACCCCTTTGTTGCTTCTCTAAATACACTCCAAAGATTGGCCAAACCCCTGCGTTTTTATACAAGGGCAGACATTGCCGAAAAGTCCACCCCTCTCATTTCTGACCACAGAACATGCAACTGCATGCATCAATTGTTTCGAGAGTTGTGTGGTATTTAGGTAACACACCTGGCTACACTTGGAGTGACACCTCACTTTTGGGTTTAAAGTAGTTAGAGAGAAAACAAATATTTGGTAGAAAATTTACTTGCCAAAAAATAATATTCCATATTAAGTAGTAACCCTATAGTTTCACAATTTTATTTTGCATAATAAAATCAATGATGTTGCCATGAAAATATCTTTCCAAGGTACCTTACGATATTTCATGTTTTAAAATGCAATGTTTAAACATTTCTAGATATGTTTAAGTGCATTGTGATAATAAAAATGTGATATTTGGTAAAGGTGTTCTCTTTTTTGTTATTTGCATAAGTAAGATACGATCCAATAATCCTTCACAGTCAGGATTAAACCTGGTTTTAGTTTTACTCAGGTCTAAGCAATGGCGATTACAATACACTAAAACCTAAGTAAAACTAAAACCAGGTTTAACCTTGCTGTGAAATCAAACCAAAGTTTCACAATATTATTTCACACGACAGTTTTCATGCCATTGTTTTTTACATTGAGGTAATGTCAGGGTATAAAAAGTTATGAAAAAATTTTAATTCCTCGTAAGTTTCAAAACCGGTGTAAAATTTATCCATTTCAGGTTTGTTTTGCATAGACTTTATGCTGACTTTATGCTGCATTTTTATGTACTTTTCCTCTGTCACACTATTTCTTTGTGCATTTTTTTTTTTTGCTAGTTGTAATTCCACTCTTGTTTGTGAAAGTTTAATTTCTAAAGATCGGATTTTCTGTTCCATACTAAAATGTCGTAAAAAGCGCATCTGAGCTAGCATCAAATACAATGCAGTAGGCATCGTGATCTGTATTTGAGAAGCCATTTTCGCCCTCGCTGTTCAAGTCCCACTCGCCGCCAGATTCACTTGAATTTGTCTCACAGTTATCAACAGTTAAATGTCTAATAATTTTCTTCGGGGCTTACAAACCTTCGATTCCGTGAGTGGAAATATAGTTGGAGTACCACCCAAATACGATTTCTTTCCTACTTCAAAATGAGCACTACACACGGTGATACTTGGCGGGGTCGAACTTACTAAATTTGCCTTCATTTCCCGCTCGTCCAATATTGTCAACCCATATACCTCTCTCTTTTGGGTCCTTGGGGAAAGGATAAAATGAAAAAAATCGATCTCGTATCGTATTTGTTATGTACCTTTTACATATACATAGGAGATGAATGTCCTAAACTTACATAATTTTGTACGCTTAATTCAAGCGTGGGCTCGAAATAGGACATTACGTTTTAGACTTACATAGTGGATAACGCGATCCAAAGATTCCACGGTTCGTGTCAGATTTACGTAAGGTCGCGCAAAGAAAACCCAAGTCCACAAAATGACCAGTTTAATGGTTTATTGGTTGACGCTCTCTAACTACATCTATATGAAGCCTCCAACTATCAAGCCGTCTCGCATGGCTCTGTCGAGCGGTCACCTTCGAGTCTTCTCCAGTCTGAACTCCCGATATTAATTCTGAACGCCTTTTATACAATATTTCTTATCAGTGGTGGATTCTGTGCTGCATTACTTGGCGGTACATACTAATTTTAATTATTCAAATTGCACACGTCCACATAAGTTACATAATTACAGGTAAGGCCACAACGCAAAACTTATCTTAATTTTTCCCGCTACGCAATCCTGAATATATCGCGTAGGCTCCTATGGGTCACGGTAGTCCTAAGCTCTGAAGCTCTGAACGCGCTTGATAGAAACCAGATGTGGAGATAGTGAGATTTTATTGCCCGAGTCAGACTACCGACTTTCCAATCTTACAGGTTGAAATAAGTGTGTGCAGGGGGGGGGGGGTATATATCTTCTTAACCGACCAAGCTAGAAAGTCACGAAACACGATAAAGTATATCAGTAGAAAGGCTCAACTTGACATTTTTTATTATTTCAAATCGTTATTTCATAACATAATAGTTGCTATGCCCTTATGCTACCCCTCCCACCCTAAACTCTTGTAATAAATATGCATTTTTTTTCATATGAAAGATGAGAGCGCAAATTAACTTATCCCAAACGCTCACGTTTTGCATAACGTTTTTATTAATGTTTCACATTACTTTTAATAACTGCTGACTGCTTTCCCTGTTAGAGGGTACAGTGACATAAACCAGTGAAAGTAATGGAACGTGTCATATATTCATTCCGATATTAATCTAAATATATGTGACTCACATTTTCACTTGTTGAAAGTTTTCTCACATCGAACTTAATTAATTGGGTTGGAGTGTCTACATCTGTAGCGGTGTTTTAAAGGGTCATAAAGTGACCAATTTTTGAGATAGTGTTATGCGGGACTTAGGTAACTTTTATATAAACGGAAAATAATAATAATAATAATAATAATAATAATAATAATAATTTATTGAGCACTAAAATGTTTCAGTACATTTTACAGGCCCTC